TTCTGAATTTGCGCCAACAAAGTTACAAGCGTTATCCGAATATAACCAAGAATATTTTCCTCGTCTTGCAAGTTGGTCCATACGGCAAATCTCAACGGACACGCACCTAGACGCGTCCACAGTGCACCGGCTGTGGCGACGATGGGTGGAACAAGAAAATGGGGCAATTTCGAAGGATATCGGTGCAGCCAGGGTAAGTACGCTTGGATCGACGCATACGCCGATAAGCGGTATTTACCGTCCATTGGCTGCCAGTGGTCTGCACTCGTGTCGTCCGTTAAGATAACTGCCATTGACCCCACAGCATAGACGCACCGCGCGACAGTGTGGCATCATAGTTTGAAGCGCAATTGCGTACGATTTCAAGTCACTTCTAAGTCATATTCAGGGCACTATGAAGTCCCAAAGATAAGATGATGTGCAACGGCCGGTGATACTTTCTTATCTTCATGGAATGCCCAATGCCTTTTAGCAGCAGGTTACACCCGACAACACACAGGCCGCATCAGCCAGCGTATGTACACATGCTTTCCTCGCCACTGTTCTTTCATGATCTAGCACCAATCGAACACATTTGGGATTCGGTTGGACGCCATTTGCAGACCTTTCCATTGCCGCGTTCAGAAGACGAACTGTGGCGAGTGGTTGACAGGGATTATTCCTCAAGACAACCATCCTTAGTCTCATTGATTCTGTATCTAGACGAGTTGCATCATGTATCGCCGTCCAAGGCGGTCTTATAACCTACTGAGCCGATCTACTGGTCTTACAATCTACTTCTATCTTTGTATTATGTATATCATTTCGAAATAAAGATCACTGATTGTTTATTGCTGTCTCTCCCTGTTTGCGGAGTTTTATCACTTTCTGACCACTCCTTCTTGGTCTTGCATTTTCAATTGGCCATTCAATTTAAAAATAATATTTATAAATAGTATTATGCCATAAATAAAAGGCATTTTAATTTATAACAACGAAATGCATTAGCAAAAAATGGATATCAAATTTTTAAGAAGAGGATATATTAATTTTAAATTCGCTCAATTCGTTAATCAGTCACAGATTGATTAATTTAAAAGGTAAATTTGATTAAATTTGAAAGTTTAATTAATGATCTAACTCTTTACCGAATGCCAGCATTTTGGGAAGTGATTACGCTCAGGGACCTACACGATAATTAATGTTTCTCGCAGAAGCAGCATATTGTTTTAAATTGCCAGTTTGTTAAATAGCAGATTGACTAAACCAGAAACATAAATCAAAGAACTTACGATTAGTGCGAATGACAGCATTCTGAGAATCTGCTGTGGTGCTGTGGTGAGAGCTCATGTAATATTAATTAAAAGCCTTAACGTTCGCTCAGTAGAAACGCTTGGCAAGGGCTGCTTCTTAACTTTCTTCCATTTTCATCAATTTCTGAGACATAATCAGTACTGATAGGTGTTGAAAGCAAGATATGCTTCAAACAACAAAATGTCGGTAACACAGTCTAGAATGGCGATTATTACTAAACAGTAATTTTTCAAATGATATAACGACTAACAACATACTGATGAGAAAAGAGCTACTCTCTATTGTAACATTAATTTTTAAAAGAAACATATTTTAGAGATATACAATGACAACAGAAAAGGAACGTGAATATATTACGATATTGTTTAAAATTCACTTTCACTTTATCAGATGGAGTAATTAATTTACATTTTCATTCAGTAATGGTAGAATAAAATTCAGAAATTCTCGAATTACCCTTGAACTGACATTAACTCTAGAGCAAATGTGCAGTGCTAAATTCTTAATAAGGCTCGCTTGGGGGTCGCATGAAATTATGCTTTTAAACACATCAAGCTTATCTAATGTTGTTAATTAGATAATTTCCTCACATCCAGTCATCTTTATTTAAATGTGCTCTAAAGTTGGAAACTTTGTTTCTTATAGAGCATAGTTTTACTCCTTTACTACTGGTGTGTAACGTATCATCTAATTTAAATTGACACTCAATATTTTTGCTGATTAATTTGATTAGCTTTTAATTTAAAGTGGTATTATTTTTCTTTGAATTCATTCATTGTTTTCAAGACTTTTTTAAAAGCTGAGGGTTTTATAGATATGAGTTGTAAATGTTTTACTTAAATTGGTATTTATTAATGATTAATCATTTAAACAGTTTCGTGAAGAAAATTTGAGAAAGAGGTCAGAATCAAAAAGAAAACTTCGCAGATATGGAAGGACATAAAGTTTTACATTGAACAACTCGCAGATATCGAAGCACAGAAAAACTAACACTGAACAAAAGTAAGACTGATGTTTTAAACCTGCTACCTTGCGGCAAAAGCAGGGATTATTAGAACCATTCAAACTTTTATATAACCACCATACCGTACTCGTACTCTAAAGATGTACTGACCTCAGATAAGGAAGATACTTACTGACTCACCAGCAAATACCTTTATTAAACAATGCATTTTACAAAACAGAATAAACTACATCAATTACAATTTCTTTTTGTTTACAAATAATACAAAGAAAGAATTCATACATAACAATTCATCTTGAATTTACTTAAATTAATATTTATAAAACAAACATAAAATAGTAAATAATTTACAATAGATTATTTGTACTCTTATTATTTCTTCTGATATAACAATAATATATAAGTTACAGTGACTGTTCAAATATAACATTTTCAAACTCAGTAATAATTTTCATAATTTCTATTATTCCTTTTTTTTCTATATTCAAACATGGTAAGAATTTTAACCACTTATTTTTCAACAAATCACATAAAATTACGTGCTCAACATCAGCTTCTTGTTCACCACATAGACACTTCAAATATTTAATATTAAATCTACTATAATATAATGGTACATGTGCATGATTTGTTAAAAATTGGGTCAAAACCCCATTACCAATACACCTCTTTTTATTAACTTTTTTGAAGAATCTATAAGTATACGAAGTAGGAAGTAGGAAGAAAAGTATCAAGCTAATACTTTTCTTCCTACTTCCTACTACAAGAAGTAGGAAGAAAAGTATCAATCGAATTCTTCAGCGTGGCTTGTTTAGCACAAATGTCAGATAATTCGTTTCCTTCGTGTCCAATATGACCTTTAATCCAATGAAGATTGACATTTCTTTTCTTTAAATTTTCAATCAAAAGAACATGAGTATCATAAACCAGTTTAGTAAATGATTTACCAGAAACTATAGCAAGTAATGCACTTTGACTATCCGAATATAAAATCAACATCATTTTTGTATCTTTCCCCAAAATCCATTCCAAAGATTTAAAAATGGCAAATAACTTCTGCCTGAAACACTGTTGAATTATCACTTAATCTAAACTGTTTAATAAATCCAATTTCACCATTTGAATAAGCTACAAAAGAGCAACCTTTTCACCTATCTTTGAGCCGTCAGTAAAAATTTCGTGTCCTTCACGAGTAGGAAATTTCTTGTCCCAAAAATAATCAGTAAGTAAAGCAGGATGAACTTCATTAACTGTTTTAATCCAAAATCTCGATATTCGAAGCATATCCACTTGTAAATCAAAAATTTGATCATGATCTTCTGCCATGCTTTAAATTAAATGAAATATAAATGCAATCTCTTTGAGCAATCAAATAGATTGGCTCGCAACCACTTAAAGTAAACAAACTGGCATTAGAAACTGTTTTGAAAACACTTAGTGATACTTAACATAGCAAGCCTTTAAATTTGAATTAACAAATTGTTAACTCTAACGTTATTTTTATGTACCATGCAGTACACGAATATAAAATTTTTCTTTCAATCCCTCTCTTATAATAAATTTTCTTTATATCACTATTAAGACCTTTTATTGCATGTAATTTGTTTCAAATATATAGAGCACTGTAACTTAATCTTTTTCAAATGAGGAATGAAAGTAAGTTGATCATCTATTATAATGCCGAGATAATTGAATTCTCGAACACTCTTTAAAGAATACCCATCAATGTGTCCTCTCGGAAGAGTAATCATTTTACCTCTTTTAGCTATGCCCATAATAGCACATTTTTATAATCGAATTTCAATCTTGTTTTGACCAATTACTAATCAGATCCAATGTATGATCTATATCAGCATCAATAGTATGCCTTCCACTTGCAGACACAATAATAATTATATCATCCGCATAAGCTTGCACTTTTACATTGTCCTTAAACGGCAATTCAAGCATTGAATCACATAAAATAATCCGTAATAAAGGTCCTGAATTAGAACCTTGAGGACAACCTCTGCCATAAAATCTTTTAATGCATAGATTACCATCTTGAAAAGAAACAGAACGCTCATAAAGATAATGTTCAAATAACTTAAAAAGATTAAAAGGACAATTAAACCTTTTTAACTGGAAACAAAAAACAAAAGGCCACCAAACACTATTGAATGCACTCTTGACATCCAATGTAACAAGTGCTGTATGCAATTTCAATCTTCTATTTTATTTTACTTTGTCCAATAAATCACAAATAGCTAAAGTTGTACTTTTTCCTTCTATAAATCCATATTGAGTTTGATTAAGTATTTTATTTTTATTCAAATAAAACCAAAGTCTATTCGTCATTAATTTATCTAATATTTTGCCAAAAAATGGTAATAAACAAATCGGTCTATATGAAGAGGGATCCATTTTACTTTTCCCTCTTTATTAAATAAAACTAAGGAAGCATTTTTCCAAATCTTAGGAAAAATACCATGCTTCAAACAAATATTATAAATTTTACAAATGAAACAAGAATCAATTCTTATTATTTCTTCTATTACATCTAGACATAGTCCATCATAACCTGGAGCTTTTCCTTTATTCATTGACCCAACCACATTCAAAATTTCTTCTTCTGTAAACTCTAAATCATTAAAGTCATTTTCATAAGTCCGAAAATTTTGTCTTATTTCTTTATGCCAGTCCAAATCATCTTCAATCGAATCATCCGAAAAATGGAACTTAACCAAGTAATCCAATGTATCTTTTATTGAATTGTTTCAGAGCCATCATCTCTTTTTAACCGACTCAAAGTAAGTGCAGATTTACACTTTCCCACAGTAATTTTATATGGAATACCATATGGTTGATCCAAGTTAGTTTTCATACATAAATCATCCCACGATTGATTTTTAGCGATATTAATTTCTTTTTTATAAATTCCTCTTAATCTCTTATATTTATCCTCCAAAAACAATTTATCTTCCAAATTAAAGGCACAAAGAAATTTTCTTCTTACAACCCTAACATTAGACCTCAAAAGATCCAATTTCTTAGTCCACCAAACTGAGGACCCTTTTGCTTTAAACTTCTTTTTGATTTTATTCTTTTCACAAATATTTACAATTTCTTCAGCAAATCTTTCAACTATTTCTTCCAAATTTTTTTCATCAATCTTTAATTTGTTATATTGCAACAAAAGAGCCGAAGCATCTTTCTTAAAATCAATCCAATTTAAATTTTTTAATGAAAACCTCTTTCTCATCACAGGAGAATAATCCTTTTCACCAAGATCAATTTCTATATAGTTATGATCACTGCAAGAAATATCTGTAATAACTCTCCAATCAATATTTATGGAAGTATGCACAAGAGTAAGATCAATCCAGGAAGAACCTCTTGCTCCTTCAAAAGTAGGAGGAGAATCTGGATTATTCAAGATACAAATCCCATGTGAATTAATAAATTCCAGAACTTGTTTTCCTCTAATATCTTCCTCTTGATCACCCCAGACTTCACTTTTAGCATTAAAGTCTGCGCAAATTACAAAATCATTACATAGATCTTTATTCAAAACTCTTGAAATATCATTCAAGCAGAAAATCAAATCAGGTTTAGGAGAACAATAAGCAGAAATCAACAACATATCTTCATCTCCAAAGTTTATTTTCAGAACAACCAAAATATTTGAAATTAAAATTTCAATCACAGAAATTGTCCTATCAAATATAACTATTCCTGCTAAAGGAATATCATTATCAATAAAATTTTTGAACAAAAGTAAAAGACAACAAGACGAATAATCTGATGAATGGTTAAACACAGATTGTTTTACGTTTCTTTGACCCTAGCCACTATTTCTTTATTGCTATTGTATGCGATTGTATGAATGAATATGCGATTGTATGAATATGCGATTGTATGAATGAATAGGGGAGAGAGAAGAATTTAAGGTAAACCTTGTGCTTATCTCTGCTGATATACTTAATGAAAATTATACTGAATGCAAGTCATACCTTCTTGAAACGATCCACCCATTTGTCAGTTTTAGTAGCACACTTTGTAACATTTTAATGGTTTCCTTTTAAAATCATCACTGATTTTTTAAACATTTGAAAAACTCAATAAACATATTCTTAAAACTAAGCCTGTTCTCACTCTTTTTACGAGTTGAGATGTCGCATAAATAACATTCACAGAACTGAAATATGTTATTAGCAGTAAATAAATAATATGTATATCATTGGTTGACGTGTACTTTTAGCATCATCTGAAAATTTCAAAACTTCTTCAAATTATTAGAACAAATAAAGTTTCACTTGTAAACCCTGTAGGGTTTACCTTATTTTGCATAAAAAATTATTTTAAGTTTTCGTACCTTTCCTGAACCTCTCAATCCCCCCTCGCATTTCCTCGCCAGAATGCTAATTTAAAGTGAAATGAGTGTATAATATATCTCGTAGTTTAAGCAGAGCGTGATTTCGCTAGCCAGCGCACTTTACTAATTTGTCCTTGCTGTTACGCGGAGCTTTTGATATGTTTTTTGTCCATATAATAAGTATATCGCCAAGTAGGTTGTATAGTCAGTCTCGGTAGCCATAAGTAAAATTGTTAGTTCAGCACTACTCTTTGTCTTTGAATTTATTCTGAGCTATTCTTAAGTCGTCGGTGTTATTGTAAGCACAAAGTGCGTGCACTTGTGCTAAGAGTTTGACGAGCAATTAAAGCATTATTTTACACTTCTTCTGTGCTGTCATTCTTTATGTCTGTCATTATGTTTTTAAAAGGAAATTTTAAATGCAGGTATATTGACCATCGTGTCTATTCACCTTTTTCTAATGTTTTATGATTATTAATTGGTTTATATTTTCTCTTCTATATTATATAGAATTAATTACTATTTGCACATACCTGCTATTAAAAATGATTTTTAAATCATTAAAACGGAAAATCAGTATCAAGGAGTCAGTATCAGTATCGTTATGCATAAAACTGTCAATAATCATCTAGCTACGATATTATTCTCATTTAGATAAAAAAAAAAAAAAAAAAAACTTCGGGAACGGTTTCCAAAGGTATTGTGAGCTACACTTCTAAAGAACTGACATGAATTACTTATAAATCTCAGACCAGAAGTATTTTTCGATCTATTCGCTACAATGGAAACTTGCTATTCCAGCTTTTTTATTTGAGTTATTTGGAGTTCATGTTAGAAGATTCGAGTTTTGAAATTGATATTCGATAAAGCAAAATTGATAGGATGTTTTACAGTTTTATTTCCCAATGCAATAAAGAAAAGTCTTTAAAATGTAGCATATAGATTTCAAATTCGAAATGGATATTTCTAACGCAAGTTTTAGTGATTTTATTTTATTAGTAGCTATACATATATATTCTATTCTGATTTCAGCTTCTGCAGCTTAAATGTTTACTTTAAAACCAGAATAATAGTCAAATGGAAATAATTACAAGATTTTTCAGGCCTTCACCCCTCCATTTTACTTTAAGAATGAATATATTTTAAGTATTTTGCATTGTTCCTGGAACTTTTACGTAACAATTCCTTAACGTTAACCTGCGTTGATAAAATCCTGCCTTAAAAAGTATGCATACATTTCATTTTGCTTGATTGGACATGCATTAATACACCTTTTCAAGACGTGTTGTGTGTTGTGACTTATCCCACCTGGTCGACAGCAACATCAGATGTTCAAAATTGAAATAACAACCATGTATTTAGCGTACATACATTAAAACACTCAATCGATTTCGAGGGCAGCTAAAGAGCTAAAGGTCCCTCCTCACAGGAGAACGAAATTCCTAGAAAGGGGAAAAAAGAAGAAAAATAAAGCATCGGCAAGGGAGTCTCAGAAACACGTGATTGTTATCAGCACTGCAGGTGGTCGTAACTGGATTTTGAATCAGAGTTACACTGGCCGCTTACTTTTACTGAGCTAGGCTATCTGATCAAACATATAACACATAGACTAAGACGCAAAAAAATCAGCGAATCAAAAAATAGGGAGCGAGGGGCAACTGCACCTTCACGCACCAAGTCTGAACCTCGAATACGTGTTTCGAAGATATCTCGAAGCTGACAAATGACAATCAAATATCGAAATGCACAGAAACGAAATTACTCTTCGGTTTCCCCTGTTAGTTAAATCTCCCTGTAACGATCTTCAGCGGTCAACCTTTTTGCTGTATTTGGTGATCCGCATATCCAGTGTGACAAGAAAAATGGATTATTTCACAAAAAATAAAAAACTATCTTTAAAAAGAAGAGAGAGACTAACTTTTACAGGTGTGAAAAAAAAGCAAATAATGATTTTAATTAAAAAAAAGTCATATTAATTATAAATTACAATAATAAGTTTAATTTGAAAAGCATATTACGGTCAGTTACAATTACAATGGTACCTCAGTATACGTCATTAATGCCAAATAGACTTTTCCAATAAGAAATAATAAAATAATTAACCCGTTTTTATAAAATAAGCCTATTGTAATTATTATTACAGTTTTTAATACTAAAGTAGAAATACTCACTGTAAAATATATGCTGTATATAAATGAAGCATTGCTTATTAATATTATAAATAAACGTTGTCTCTTTGGGTAGTAACCTTTTCAAAAAAGAGTAGAATCTTCCGCATCTTAGCTGAAATCCTTCTCCCACTTTCGTAACTGCTTTTCAGGGTTACAGATTCATCAGGGTCGTAAAATTAACTTTGAAAGAACGAGAGAAAACTTTCAAATATTTAACGCATCTTATTAATGGAATTTTACAATCACCAAAAGCCTTTGAAATTTAGTTTCATTTATGTTGGCTTACAGATATTCCTCCCCCACACACCAAAAAAGGAAAGCAAAACCAATATGCGCTTTTAATCATTTGGCCTTTAACTGTTCGTTTGGGATCATTCTGTAAAACAACTCAAAACAACTGAAGTGTTGAAATATTCCTTTTCTATAAGTTTAGAGAAACATTACTGGAAGCTCTTTCTTTTCCATTTCCCGTCATTTTATTATGAGGAAAAACAAAAACCTGATGCACATTTGGACAATATACTGCTAGTCTTTAGTATTCATCAAAGACGTGAAAACGTTAAAAAGATCAAGGATGTTAAAACGTTTATTTATAATATTATGTGCAATCCTTCATTTATGTACAATATATAAAATATATATATTTTACTCAGAGCATTTCAAATTTAGTATTAAAAGTGTCATAATAAATACAATAAGATTATTTTGTTCATTTGGCATCATCTTCTATAACAGCTTAACTTCAGTAGTGTTAAAATATTCCTTTCCTGATAATATCGAGAAACATTACACAAAACTTATTTTGTTGCCATTTTGCTATTTTGTATTTTGAAATGATCTCTCATTTTTCAGCAGTGTTCCTGAAGAAATGTATTCCACTCCTTGGACTTATATAATTAGCTATTTGAGCACAAAAGGCAGTTTCTCCAAAGGGTTTGGAAAATTCAGAAGTATTTGTCTGAACTATATTTCCAGATGTTAGGCCCAATAGCTGTTGAGCGGTAAAATAGCTGAGCACTGGCATTTCGGTCTGGTGATCGAATTCCGGCAAACGGGCTGGACGCATGGACCGTTTCAGAGTTTTTTACTTATGTAAGTTGTATACGAACCAGTTTCTCTCGAAACGTTCTCCACAAAGGCATCTATCAACATAGGCAGATAGCACTCGAGTTAAACCCATAAAACGAAACCAAACTTTGTCCAGATATTAGTATATTGCGGTGAACTAACTATTTAATTTGCATTCTAATATTCATATGCTCGACGTTTCTCAAACTTTTCCACAAACAGAAACTGTCAAGTCCAAAATGGGACTACCTGCAGATTCGATAAACTATATCCTCAGCAGGTGCGATTTTGTTGCAGTTATTCTGTGTTTTCGAATAATTCATACGTCGCATTTAACCTAAAAATCTTAATTATTTACAGCTGGTCATGCGGAAGAATATTTTCTAAAATGAAGTGTGAACACAGTAGGCCTGAAGAATATGTGTGTTTGGTGCCCTTCTGGTGAATTTGAAAAAGAAAATAATTTAATTATTAATATATCCTATTCAATGTCCAAAGAGAATGCATTTGTTTTGCTTCTACATGTATGGTTAAAAGCAAAGGTGCAATATTCCTTTATAAAGAGTATCCTAAATTTGTAAAGAGCTTAGAGAATGATAAATTCTTTATCTCCCATTCAGAAAACAAGAACTCGAATAACGTTTTAAAATCTGAAACAAAAGAAACAGATAAGGGTAAAATTTTCAGTTTTCTAAAAGGTAATTTCCTGAAGTTATTGATGTTCCTTAAAAGGGGATTTAATGAAGTTCATCGTTCATAAGAAATTATTACCTACTTCCTCCTTCTTCGAGTAGCGAAAATTTCAAAATATTCATTATAGATTCAGATTTGAACATAACACTGCATGACAGCATAATCACATAACTTGATCAAAATCAAAGAACCGATTTAAGTTCTTTTGTCTTTGGGAAGCTGGTCTCAGATGTTACATGCGGTTCTAAGCTATACTTGCACTAACGATATATCCTGGTTAGCATTTGTTTAGAATGCAGAGAATGATGGGGATGAAAATAAGAGCACAAGAACGTA